AGCGTGGGTGAAATGCAATTTAAACATGCAATTACAGTTCAGAGATTGAAATACTATGTTGGGGAGATTTGGGAGGGCAGGGCAGTTTTTTTATACCTCTCTACAGTTACAATGTGACTTCTGTGACTGGGCATTCTGTCTTTGCTCACAGCTGACTCCCAAAGGGCTAAGGACAATTTGGTCTGTGGTAGCTGAATGAATAAAGCTATTTTTGCTTCATCTGAAAATGACATATTAAGGAATTGAAATTGGAGACTGAGGAGAGAAAGCAAAGCATTGTCATGTGAATCCTGTCTTTGCAAGAGGCCACCTAGCTGACTTAGAAGTCACTGTGGGGCAAAGTGCTTCCTGTTCATATGTGAGGACCCAAGTAGATCCTCAGCAGAAGCTGAGCACAGCAGTGTATGCCTACAAGGTCATTGCTGGGGAGGTGGGGATGGGACGGTCCTTGGACTTGATGACCAGCCAGTCTAGCTGAATCGGGGAGCTCCAGGTTCATCGAGGAACTGTCTAAGTTTGCTTTCTATTGCTGTAATAAAGACCATGACCAAAAGTAACTTAAGGGGGAAGAGTTTATTTCACTTTAGAGATTGCTGTCCATCATGAAAGGAAGTCAGTACAGACCTCATGACCGGAACCTGGAGGCAAGAACTGAAGCAAAGGCCTCAAAGGAACAATGCTTACTGTCTTGATTCCCATGGCTGGCTCTACCTAGCATCTTACACATCTCAGGACCACTTGCTTAGGGGCCATGGCACTGCCCACAGTGAACTGGATCCTCCCACATGAATCATGAATCGAGAAAATGTCCCATAGACTTGCCTGTAGGCAATCTGATGGAGGCATTTTCTCAATTGAGGTTCCTCTTTCCAGATAACTCTAGTTTGTATCATTGACAAAAAACTAACCAGAACAGATAGGCTGCCTCAGAGTACAATGTGAAAAGTGATTGAGGAGGTTACCTCATTGACTACTGGCCTGCACAAGCACATATACATTCACACACACACACACACACACACACACACACACACACACACACACACACACACACACACAAATGTGCGAGTGTGTGTCTGTGTGTGTGTGTGTGTGTGTGTGTGTGTGTGTGTGCTCCATCACATGAAGTCACTCTTCATTCTGGGTCCACTTTGCTATTGCTAAAATGGGAGCAAAGAACATCTTGCATGTGGCATGTTCTGAGGACAAGAGACAGTGGCAGAGGCACCCCAGCATACGCACTCTCAGTAGCCAAGTTCTCTTTCCCTTTCTTGTTCCATGGGCCAGCTGCTCCCTCCTATGGTTGAAAATGTACACCCAGTCTTGCTCTTACTTGGTCAGAAGTGCTTGGCTTCTCCTGGAAGTCTCCTGGGAGGACATTGACGTGAAGAAAAGTGCAAAACCAACAGGAGCAATTCACAAGGAATTGAGATTTGCCCTCAGTCTTAAAACATAGCCGAGGAAGCACCTGGGGACTCCTGTTACATACACAAGGTCTAAGGAAAGTCAAACTCTAACTGGAACCTCAATCCTGACATTTATGAGGTCAAACTATCAAAAAGCCCAGAAGGGACCACAAAAGTCAAGAGGAAAGAGATAGCTTGACCTTGACTTTGGAGTTCAGCTTGCCTCAGTCACTCACACCAACTTTTTAAGGGCCAGATGTGGGGTCTGGACACAGCAGCTTCCTGAGAAAGGGCTGTGATAGTCCATGCACATGCTCCACCCACTGGGACAGGACCAATCATCAATCAGCTCAGCTCATCCCCCTCCTTAGAGGTTAGGTAGTGACTGATATTGCTCATGCATAGGGGCTGCTTTTAGGTGGGTTTGAAGCACTGCTTTTCCATTTTTAAGGAAGATGCTCAAGAGGGCACAGTGGCAACTGTCCTAGAACAGAGCTGGGGGACTCTTCTTTGGAACTCAGTGTGGGATGTAGTCAGTGTGGGATGTAGTCTCTCTGCCCAGGAATGGAGACTAACTCCCAATTGTTAACTTTAGTTTTCATACTGTGATTTCCCAATCTTGCATTTATTACTAGAGTATCTGAGATGTTGAGTGGGATAGGTGGATGCTGGGGTCCTTGGGCATGGTCTGGCTCTGCTGGTCCTGCTGCTCAGAGCAAAGTGGACACAGCCATTCACACTTGGCTTCAGGACTCTACGAAGGTAAATAATGACAGAGAGTTGTAATGTCACTAAAAAAAGCCCAAAAACTGCAACTCATTACAAATATACAGGGCACAGAAACCTACATGGCTGAGGCTTTTTGAATGAACCGTATTAAAGTACATTTTTATGTGTGCATAGAGGTTTGCATGTGTGTGTGCTTATGGAGGCTAGAGGCTGATGCCCAGTGTCTTTTTCCATCACTCTTTACCTATGTATGCCAGTCCTCTCCATGAACCAAGTGTTTACCAGTTCCGCCTAGTTTAGCTGGCCAGCTTGCTCCAGTGGTCTCCTGTTGCTGTCCCAGGAGGTCTGACATTATAGGTGGACTGCCAACCATTTCCACTGGCTTCTACATGAGCGCTGGGGTCTGACTGCCACTCCTCAGGCTTGTGTGGCAAGTGCTTTACCCACCAAGTCATCTCCACAGCTCCAAGGCATATTCTTTCATGCTGCAGAATCATGTTATTATACATAATAAAACCCACCCAGTTGGTATAGTGACCATTCCACTCACTAAAATATGTTCCCAAACGCTGCCCAGCTCCTCTCCCCACACTGGGCTCTTAATAAACACTCGTCGGTTTTTTTTTTTTTTTTTGTCTCCAAAGTTTTGTTTTTTTCTAGAACATCATATAAACAGGATTATATGACATGGAGTCCTCTGTGCTTGCTATCTCTTTCTTCACATAGTTTCTGAGACTCACGGATGATGTCGGTAGTCATTCCTTAATGCTGAGAATAGTATGGGAGCCTAGTTCATTGAGATTTGCTTTAAAGCCTAAACTAGAGCTCATGAAGCCCCTGGGGAGGCTTGCTTTATACAGTTGGCTTAGGAAAGTCAAGCCCCAATTGAAATGTACGTCTTAACTTTTTCAAGGTCAGTATATATCAAAAAGCCCTGAAGGGACCAAAAGTGAGGATGCATCATCCTTTCCCCATTCACACCCTGGAGGATGTTTAGTTATTTCTGAGTTTTGAACCATTATGAACAGAGTGATTGTGGAACTTCACTTGCGGGTTTTCTTTTCTTTTTCCTTTCTTGTTTTGTTTTTGTTTAGTTTTGTTGTGAGACAGGATTTCTCTGTGTAGCCCTGGCTGTCCTAGAAATCACTTTGTAGATCAGGCTGACCTTGAACTTACAGAGATCAGCCTGCCTCTGCCTCCTGAGTGCTTCGATTAAGGGTGTGTGCCACCCTTGCCCAGATACATATGGGTTTTTAATAGACATGTTTTCATTTCAGCTGAGATAGGTCATGTATGATGATGGTATGTTCAGCTTTGAAAGTAACTGTCAAACCCATCCCATATCGCACCCAACCCTGCCAACTATATGACAGTTTTCAGCGTGTTCTCACCAACACTGATACCTTGATATCATCAATTTTCAGATTTGAATAGAGGCATGGGTTAGTTTTCAAATTAGAAGCATCTCCTTGGACAAGCCACTCCCCACTTGAAAAGCAATGCATACTTCTTATATCTATTTGCTATCTTGTTGACAGTCTGTCTGTGAGTAGCATATAAATTTTAAGGTGGCACCTGTCCCTGCATCAGTAAATCATGTGACTATATGAATGGCTGGAGGTAGAGAGGGACAGCAGGCTGCAACTGCTAGGCTTCCCATCAGTCCTGGAGTGGAATTAACTTTAGCCATGTACTGATTCAAGGATAAAACAGCTTTGCCCTGGGTTTGGAAAGAGGGCATTTGAGGAAGGAAGGACATGCAGAGAGCAGAGAGTGAGGGAGGGTGTCAAGGTTGTGTGTGTGAATGCATTCTGAGTACGGAGAACACACCATGCACCTCACACTATGTGTGTGTATGAATGCGCACTACAGCCATAATGATAGTGTGACGCTAATGCTCACTGCTTACTGTGTGCCAGATGCTCTACACTCCTCACAGGTTAATCCATTTATTCTTCCCAACAGTCTTATACTGTAATGATAGTCTTAACACTATCATTATATACATTTTATGGACAAGGAGACTGAAGCAGAAAGAGGTGAAATAACAGCTCTGGGTTATGTTCCAAAGTCTGGCCCTGTCTCCTCTATACCACACTGCAAGGTTGTCATGGCCACGATTATTAGTTAAGGGACCATTTAGCTGCTGTAATCAATAAATATTAATAACTATGCAGACTTCCAGATATGATGACCTGAGCAAGACAGAAATGAGGTTTCTCTTGGGTATCAACCCCAAAGGACAAAACCCAAGGCTGTTAGGCTGGCTTTGTTCTTCTCAGTGTGGCTCCAAGTTTGAGTTCAAGGTCATCACTTGCATCTTCTCACCTTCTAGCCAGTGTTGAGGGGAAAAGAGCCAGGAGGCATATCCATGCCCTTTTAATGGAATGATCCAGAAGTTTAGACCTCCCATTGGTCAGAGTCTAGTCCGATGGCCACACCAAGCTACATGGGAAGGAGGCAGTCTGTTCTCTGTGGCGCAGCATGTCCTCTGCTACAATTCAAGGACTCTACTGTGAGCAGGAGGGATGGAAGCCCAGCTCTCTCTGCCACAGCTTGCAGACTATCCTCTGGACTTTGAAATTTGTCCCCTAGGGGATGAGGAACTGTCAAATGACCTGTAAGTGGGAATGCTTGGCTGTTAGACTTAGGCTTAGATCACTCCAGAAGATTGTTTGGAGAATAAAGAGATGGGAGGAGATAGGAGCAGGGGGCCTGTGAAAGGCTGGGGTTGGCAGGTTGGGATTGTGAATGCCTTTTGGAGATGGAGTTTGACCAAGCGTCTGTCTTACAATATACACATCCATCTGACACCACCATCTGTCTAGTGCCGAGTCTGCACACAGTGCTCTAGAGATGGTCCCCATGGGCACAGCAGGACTCAACAATGGTCCCCACAGGTACAGCAGGACCCTGCTCAGTCCTGATGAGTTCTCAGTGACATTCAATGTAGGGATAATCCTTGGCTCTCTTCACTGACAGTGACCTCTTTTGTCTGTTTCTCTTGGTCTTAGGACCCCCGGAGCAAACACAAGTTTAAGATCCACACCTACTCCAGCCCCACCTTTTGTGACCACTGTGGATCGCTGCTGTATGGACTCATCCACCAGGGGATGAAGTGTGACAGTAAGTACTTGATCTCCTGAGGAGTGTCCGCCCATGGGGAAATGCCACAGGAAAGGCTTCTATCCTAATGGCTTAGGGTCTGAGTCTTCACTGTGTCCTCCTGACCCCTGGGAAGGACTAGTACTGTTACCAATTGCCCTGTACTGAGCTCTCCTCTTCCATAAGAAGGTGGGCCAGCTCATAAGTCACCTCCATGCTGCACCCACTTTCTAGGGAATTCATAACTACTACGTGTCAATATTTTAAAATTAGGAGATGCCAATACTTAATTCTGGGTTCCTGCTGATGTTAAACACGGGGCAGTTTGACAACATTGTGTAAGCATTCCTGTAGGATCTACTGGGGTGGGTGTGGCTGTGTCCTCCACATGACTACCTCCATGTCTTCCCTCACCTATAGGAGTGGTGCACTGAGCATTCGAGTTGGGGTTTCAGAACCACTGGGGTATAGAAGTATAGAGGCACCTTGGTCTTCAGGGACGATGGCCAAGTTCAATTTCTTTCATCCATCGGGGTTGTGAGAAAGACTTGGAGAAGTCCTTTTGATTTGATTCTGGCAAGGTGGCTTGTTCTCTGCTAGGGGCACTGGCTCTAAGGTGAGGGAACAGGAAGGCACCAGCTGGCCCCGGTACAGCTGATGCCTGAAGCCCCTAGCCTGGGCTACCCTAGACCACCCTGGACCAGCCTGAGCCATACCTCCTTCTCTCTGCCCTCGCAGCCTGCATGATGAACGTCCACAAGCGCTGTGTGATGAATGTCCCTAGCCTCTGTGGCACTGACCACACAGAGCGCCGCGGCCGTATCTACATCCAGGCTCACATCGACAGGGAGGTCCTCATCGTTGTCGGTAAGTGGCTCCGAGGCTGCGGCACTGGTGCTGGGGTCCCTGAGTTCCTTGCGGGAAGGATAGTGTACAAACATGCTACAGGTGCATGGAGAGACAGGTGCTGCTGCTTTGTCCCTGCCTCCAGCGCCGTCCTTTTCCACATCGAAATCCTCAGACTGTGGACCTTCAAAGCCACATTCTGCACATCTTGTGCTGGTCTCAGCTGTTGAAGGGACACCGGAGCCAAAAACAAACAAACAAACAAAAACAGCTATGTGTAATGGAAATACAATAATCTATATTTGTGGTCATAGTGTATTTTTATACATGTATGATATGTAATAACCAAATCAAGGTGACTTTCACATATCTCTGCACCGTCTCAAGCATCTGTGATTTCCTTGTATTGAGGACACACAAAGGACTTGTAATTTCACAGATTCCACTTTCTGTCTCCTATTTGTCTTCTCCGTGTCCCCGGAACATGCAGTCCCTGTGTCCTCATTCACATAGCCGAGAAGGCACACTTGCTTCCTCCCCAGACTTTTCCAATGGGAACACAGAGCCTTGCTGACCAGCACCAAATTTGGGAGAATTTATGTCTTAGAGAGGAAGGGAAGGGCTGTGCACTTTAGAGAACTCCATGGGGCCTTCGATGTAGTTGAAAAAAAAATTTAACCCGGTGGGAGCTATGGTGATCACTCTAATATTCTGCATACTTATTGTGTTTCTGAACCATTGCATAAGAAGGAGAAACTACAATTTGCTGAGGGGTGAGGGGTGGGGTAACACGAGGAGCAGAAAATTCTGACTTTCTGTGGTGATCATTCATGAAGCACTAACAACACTGGGACTTGTCAGGGCTGGAGTGGCAGGTACTTACCTACTAGTCATGGCAAAAACCAGCATGGAACGAGACACGACAGCATGAAAATTAGAAAGAATTGTGTCTGCCAGGCTTGTGACACAAACCTTTGTCGACTTATGTAACTAATTTGTATAAACAAGGCATCACCATTTCATCATGGAATGGTTGATTTTGTAAGCTGGGCCTGTTTCTGAGGCCCTGGAATGGCTTAGTAGCACCGATGTGCTGAGCCCTGGCTTGGCCAGGGGTTTGTCTAACCATATAAAAGTTGAAAAATATTCCTACAAAATGTAACTCCTTTTTGAAGGGGCCATTAGGGAAGCCCAGCGAGTTCTTAGAGAAGGTGGTTTCATCAAGAGGCTTTTTCTTTCCAGGAGGAGGCAGCTGTTTCCCAATGGGGTGCTTGTAGAGTAGGGATGGAGTGCAGAGACAGTCTTAGGGAAGTAACAAGTTCCAGGGAGGCCTGCCCGATCCGTAGCCATTGATTGTCTAGCCTCCAATGCCTGAGGGACAAAACTGAGGCTCTGCTGCCACCTAGTGATTCAAAAAACAGCTACTGTGGGCATCCACATTTATAGAGTGCATTTAGACCCACAGCCCTTTCAATCCTCAGGACCGTCTTGCCAAGTATGTGTTATGTTCATTTTATGAATGTAACATCTGAGATAGAGAAATGATACTTCTCAGACTTCTCACCACCAGCGATACCAAAACGGCAGCTAATGTGCACAGGGCTTCTGAACATTATGTAACATATTTATCATGATGTGAACATGCTTACAGGCAATATCTTGTTTAAATACCGCAGTATCCCAAGGAGGTAAACATTATCCTTCTATCCAATTGAAACAGGTTCACTGGGTTCCCACTCACTTTCCAAGCTAGGTCTGTTTGACTTGAAAGCACCCTCCTCTATGTACCAAGTTACTGTTTTAGCTCACTTTTGTTCCTTTGCTTGATTTCCCCCCCCCCCCTTTTATTCCCTTTTTGCTTTAGCC